GGAATCAGATGCGGCTCCGCTCCCTCGCCCGCCGCTCTCCTCCTGCTGTGCGGCCTGGTCACTGACCAGTCCGGGGTCAGCGCCCCTAGTTGGGAGGCCCTGCTGGGGGGCGGGAACATCAAGACGGTCGCGTGTCCTTGGAGGATGGGCACCATCGCCAGGGGGAAGTGACCGTCCTGCTGGTCACAGCCCTTGCTCTGGAGCTGGCCGAGAGGGTAAAACGGCCACTCGCCTGCTGCGACCGCGTGGGCGCCGTCTGGGCTTCCGCTGCTTGCGCCCGGCGGGGCGTCGGTGCAGGCGGCTGGCCTGCCCCGCGCGGGGGGCCGGGCCGCGCCTGCCGTCCCGCGCTGCCTCCGCCGGTGCCACCTGCTCGTGCTCCGGTTTCTTCTCTGAGCCGTTTTCGTGGCCTCGCTCTGTCCTCGGCAGGCTTCGCGGCCACACGGCTCCGCTTCATGCGAGAGGTCGGCGGTGGCCACGCACCCTTGCAGCGCGCCGAGACCCGGCCTGGGCGGCGTGCCCGGGGCGCGGACCCTGCCGGCATCATGCCCGTGCCCCCCGCACTCACGCCGCTGCCACACGCGTTGCCGATAGCGTGTTGCGAACGGCAAGCACGCTGTCGGCATCGCTGTTTAAACGGTCGTCTTCCAAAGAGCCTTAGACGGCGAGAAACCAGTACCGGTGGTTACGTGGCGTCCACACAGCAACGCCAGGGGCCTTCGGAAGGGCCCCCGGCTCGGCTCCCCGCCCTGCCCCCTCGGGCGTGGCTGCGCCCAGCGGACACACACGGAGCCTTCTCAGCGAGCGCTTGCCTTTCCGGCGACGCTGGGCCCCGGCTGCGACCGCGGCCGTGTGGGGCTCGCACACACCCCCGTGTGCACGTGTGCTTGTGCCCTCTCCCCGCTGGCGTGCAGAAGTCACACTACTGTCACCTGAGGGGCTTTACGCTTGGGAGGACTAGAATTGCCGAGCGAGGCCAGAGCCACCGTGAGGCCCCACGAGCCAGCCAGAAACTCCAAATAACCCAGTTATGAAAGGCGGTCTGCGTCTGGGGCTTGGGCGGGCAGTGAGGGATGAGTGTCCATTCGTAGATTTATTTTGCACAGTCACCCTGTGTGCAGACCCCTGCCCAAACCGGACTGGGAGCTGGGGACGTGTGCACTGGGACACATGGGGGAGGCAGTGGGAGCTGGGGGCCTGCAGAGTGGCCGAGGTGGAGGCCGGCACCCGGGGGTCAGCACCCACCTCAGCTGGCCCTTGGGTGCCAGTGCAGATGCGAGTCCATGTATGGCCGTCACAGCGAGCCCCACACCATCCGAGAGTGACCGGGGCCACCCCAGCACGCCCACAGTGCCCTCCGCCCCGAGAGACGGCCCCGAGGCGGTTCTGGCCGCCAGCTTCTCCGAAGCTCCGCGTGTGGCTGGCGGCCCTGAAGTCACCCCACCTGGCCTTTCTCAGGCCATTTACTTCACAGCCTTGTTCCCCTACCTGGTCCTGACGGTGTTCCTGGTCAGAGGACTCACGCTTCCTGGGGCGGTCGAGGGGCTGGCCTACCTGTTCACCCCCAGCGTAAGTGGACCCCAGGGCAGGGCCCGGAAACACTTACGCCGGGGCGTCCGCCCAGCACCTGTAGGGAGGACGCGGAGGAGGGCAGCCTGGGTCTAGGGAGGACCTCGGGGTCAGAGTGCAAGGCGTGGGGACATGCAGACTCTGTTGCCTGTGGGACGTGGGGAGCCAGGGTTCAGAGGGGAGGCCAGCCCCGGTCCCCACACATCTGAGAGCCTCGTCAGTGGCACGGTCATGCCAGGCGAGGGGCCACAGGACCAGGGGGCCCGTCCCCAGGCCCACGCCCTTCTAGACCACCCTACTTTCCAGACCCTGGGTGGGGGGCAGCTGTGCATGGAGGCGGGTCGCCTGGGTCCCGGCAGCGGAAGCACCAGCACCGACTTTGGGTGACGCTCCCGCGGCACCCCACTTGACTCCACCAGGCCCAAGGGGGCAGGACAGACGCAGTACGCCCAGGTTGCCCAGACTGTGGCCCGGCCTGGACACGTGTGTCACTAGGCTCGCAGCCCCCTGCGTCCCAGACGGGCGCTGCGGGTTAGCTGATGCGTCACAGGACAGGAGGCCGCACGCCATGCTAACTGCCCTTCCACGTGCTCCCTTGTGCGGGGCAGCCTGAGCGGGGGACGCCGCTCATGACGGCTGCCCCAGAGGAAGCCCGGGGGCCCTGGGCTGCTGCGGTTTGTCCCGGGACCGAGGGCTCTCCGTCCCCTGCAGATGCAGACTCTCCAGAGCCCCCGCGTGTGGCTGGACGCAGCCACCCAGATATTCTTCTCCCTGTCCCTGGCCTTCGGAGGACACATCGCGTTTGCCAGCTACAACGCGCTCAGGTGGGGCTGGACACAGGGCGGGCCCCTTCCGGCAAAGGCGCCGGCCACGTCCCCATGCTCAGCTTGTCTTCACTGGGACTTCCCGCCTGGGATGGAGGTGACCTAGTGGGAACTTGAGATGAGACCAGACTCTTGAATATCCTAGCAATGACTGAGTCGCCCCTGAGGGTTATGGGTCAGTTTCCAGCACATTCCACAGCCCGGAAGCCAAACCCAGGAATAAGGCCATGCTGGAGGCTGACAGCAACCAGTGTGAGCCATGCGTGTGACGCATGAGGTCGTAGAGCAGAAATGCTCCCTGTTACCCAGGCGGCCACCGAAGCCGGCTGAGGCCTCCGCCCGCCCTTTATGAGACCCGTGCCCCCCAGGGGGCGGGAGGCGGAGGACGAGGGCCAGTGGGGCCCCACGGGCTTCACTCGCTGTGTTGACACGTTACGCACCCGCCGCCCCCCCACCCCACCCCGAACGCAGCACCGTCCTCAGCCCCGTGTGCCCGAGGCCTTGGGGTGGGCGCAGGCTGAGGGGCCGGGCCGGTGCGTCCTGAGACCACCGGGAACAGCACACACGCGGGGCCACGTGCAAGTGGGGGCGTCCCGGGCGGGGTGCCGAGGGGCGGGGCCCTCGCCACGGAGCCCACCACGCGCCTGCGTCTGCCCAGGAACGACTGCAGGAAGGACGCGGTGACCATCGCCCTGGTCAACAGCATGACCTCCCTCTACGCGGCCATTGTCGTCTTCTCCGTGCTGGGCTTCAAGGCGGCCCAGGACCACGGGCGCTGCCTGGACGGGTGAGCATGGCGCCCGCAGGCCGCCAGAGTCCCAAGCCACGACCTTGTTTCCTTAGGAGAGGGGGCGGGGACTGTACCCCAAACAGCACAGCCCCCCCAGCAGCCAGGATGAGACCTGACCGGGAACGGGGCCTTTGCAGACAGTGCAGGGTGCCCGACCCGTGAGCGTGTCCGCACAGAGACGGGAAGGCACGCAGACGCGGGGGAGCCGGGGATTGGAGTGGCAGGGCCGCGAGGGGCCTCGGGCATCAGGAGCTGGAGGAGGCAGGAAGTGGGGTGCCGCGGGAGCCCCGCACCTGCCACTGGGCGGCCGCAGAGGGAGGAAGCGGCAGACGCAGCCGCCCAGGGTGGGCGCCTCCTGGAGCGTCGGGGCTGCAGGGGCGCCCTGGGCAGCAGCGCGAGGCCCGGCCGCACTGTGCGCAGATCCTCCCGCACTGGGACGGTGCCACTGTGCTACCCGCGGGGACACTTCAAACAGCAAAGTCACCGCCCAAGGGCACAAACTGTGAGCTCCACGGCCTGACTGGCTGCGGGAAGGACACTGTCCACCGCGGGAAATGACGCGAGGGCGTCACGCGGCCCGGCCAGCCTCGGCGGGGCCATGCCCCTCTGGACTTGTCCTCGGTGTCTCTGGGAGGGCCGTGGGGGTTGTCACTCACCCCCCAGGGGGTAGGCAAACCTGCAAATACAGGAACCCCTGCTGGGGCCGCAGCCTTGGGGAGCTCTTTGCCCACTGCCCACTGGGGACCCACAGGTCCGAGGAGCAAAGGAACTGCTGCGTCCCCTCTGGTCGGGGACCGAGGACAGCCTCCCTCTCCCAGCGTGCCCGCCGGCTGCCCCCGGGTCCTCCAGACGCAGCATGGCCAGGAGAGCCCGTGGCGCTGGCCCTCCCGGGGGACGGTGTGACCTTCCCTGCGTCTGGGCGCTGGTGTCCGAGCGCTCACGCAACCGCCCCGCCCCGCAGAAACATCCTTCGCCTCATCAACGAGTTCGAGCTCCCTGACCAGAGCGTCTCCAGGGACAACTACACCGCCGTGCTCGTGCGCCTGAACGCCACGCGGCCCGCCAGGGTGGCCGGTCTGCGCCTGCAGGTCTGCCGCCTGCAGGACTTCCTGGACAAGGTGCGCGGGGGCCTGGCCGGGGCCGGAGGCCCACCGAGTCTCAGACACCGAGGCGGCAGGCCAGGGCAGGCAGGTCCTCGGGGCAGCGTCTGATGGGCACTTGGGGCCCATGTCGCCTCTCAGCTGCAGGCTGTTAAAAGGGGGGAGGTTCCTTCCTTCGCATGTGGATCTATATTTTGTCCCAGCAGAGCCGGAAAGCAGGTCCACCGCCTCGGCCAGGGAGGGTGTGGGAACGCGCGGTCGCCGCCGGGCATGTGCGGGCGGG